AAAGGGCTGCCATTATTTAAGACGAGCTGGCCTGGGCACCACCCCGGCCACGTGCAGCACCCCCGCGGCCACGGTTCTGGCCGGAGAAGTTGCCACGAGAGCTGCCCTGCGTATTGCGGTTGCCATCGAAACCCCCACGCCCACGGCCACCCGGAGCATTACCTCGGCCGGAACCGTAGTTGTTACCACCGTAGGCTGTAGACTTGGGACGACGGGGCTCAACAACGATGTTCTCACCGTTGACAACGTGGGGATTGGCAGAAACTGCGGCATGGTAGCCTTCGAAAGTTTTGTATTCTACAAAAGCACAGTTCTATGATCCAAAGAGTCAACATGTGTCCTCTGATTTCAGGGAATTCATATGTAAACGTACCTTCTGGCGGTTGATGTCAAAGTAGGACAACTCGCCGTGGGCAGCCAAAGCACTGCGCAGGTCTGCTTCCTGAACCTTCTCGGTCACGTACTTGACGTAGCCAAGAGTGCCCTCCTTCTCAGCGACATTCCCAGAGATGGACTGAGGGCGGTTCTGGCGCTTGGAGTCGGCACCAGCAGTCTGCCAGCCAGACGACTCCTTAGCCGGAGCCTCGGTGGCAGGAGCGGCGGCGGCGGCGGCAGGGGCTGCTGGCTGGGCCGAAGCGGCGGGAACAGCAGCGGGAGTAGCGGCGGGAGCTGGAGCTCTACTCTGGCTCTGTGCAGGAGGAGTAGCAGTCTTGGGAAGAGGCACAACAGGTCGAGGTCCGGCGGCAGCAGCAGCTCGGCTGGCCCAGGTCATCGGCTTGGCAGGCATGACGGGTTCAGGAACAGTCTCCTTCTTAGCCACAGGTGTTGGGCTGGGCTCCTTAGGCCTCTCAGCCTCAGGGGTGAGGTTCTCAGCGACTTCCTGGACAGTGACGGCTGGCTCAACTTTGGGTTCGGGAGCCTTGGGGGTCTCCATAACATCCTCACCATTGACAGGGACATCGACCTGAGCAGAAGCAGCCTGTTGAAGCTTCTCGTCAACAGCATCAGCATCCAACTTGCTAGAGTCCGCCGTAACAACATCTGCCACGGGCTCCGGCTCCAGCTCGGGAATAGGCTCGGGCTCAGTCACAGCAACAGCAGGAGCGGCGGTCTCCTCTTCGATAACAGCAGGGGCGTCGGTAGGCTCGGCGGCCTCTTCCTCATCCTCATCCTCTTCGTTAATGTATCTCCAGATGTCATTGAGGACAAAATAGCCAGAAGGTTGCTGTGCAAGGACGAAGGTCTGGACAAACTTCTTGGGCTCGCCGCTCTTATTGGAGGTCTCGCCAATGACCTGGATGACAATATTCTCAAAGGAAGCCTGGGAGTCGACATTGGTGACACAGACCTTGCAGTCCTGGAAGTCAAGAGCCTTGATACGCTCTTGGATGGCCTATTAAGTGACAGAATGGTTAGGTTCGCGACGGAGTCAAGCGGGTTGGGCAAACGGGAATCCCTACCTGTCGTCCAACGGAGACGTTGGCCACTTCAGCCTCGAGCCCATAAACAAATTGCGATCGTTTGCCGTAAAAGAGCTACGGAGAAGGATTCAGTTAGCCAGGATGTATCAAGCTGACGACCGCAAAGTTGGTGCATGACATACATGGAGCTTCTCTGGCGACTTGCTCAGAGTTGTGTAATATTGCTCAACAAAATACCAGCCGACTTCATCCTTTGAGAGATTGGCGCTGTTGGTGTTGGTCTCAGCGCCAGCAGCAGGATCAGCAGCCTTGTACTGCTCCTGCTGCGAGAAGTTACCGTTAGTAGCCATGGTCGCCCTCGTCTGGATGATCCGGCAATGTATGCGTGTGGGCGTGGTAGGGCCGCAATTAAGGCACAAAGGTGGTAGATCGCGTGCGCGTGTGGGTATCGATGCGGAGAGATCGGAAGGAGACGACGATCGGGTTTGACGCCCCTAATGATGACTCGTGATGGAGGTGTCTATCAACGAGGTATCGCAAAGTGACAATGGCAAGAGACCCCGGTAGGCACTTGATGACAAGAGGTTTGCTGAGGTGGGTGGCGGGAGGAAACGGGCACGGGAGGGTATCGCGGTGACGAAGAGAGTAGAGCAGCAAGTTAGAACTTTGCGAAGAAGAGGAAAAAACCTGTAGAGGAAGTTCTAGGGAGGGTGGGGGAGAAGGGGAAGGAGGGTGAGATGAGGTGGTGATGCAAATGGCAACTGCGTTGAGTTGAGGTGCTGTGAAGTGAAATGAAAGAAACCGGGAAAAAAACACAATAAAGGTGGTCATCGTCAAATGGCATGTGGTCCGTGCGTGGCTTGCGATGGTCGGAAGGGTAAACGGCCCACTTGGAGGGGAGGGCTTTGAGAGGCGTCAAGAAACAAAGTTGGGGAAATGTTGCCCAAATTTGGCATGGCAGGATTATTGTCTGTTGGTGGTTTCACTACTGTTCCTTTCATGCGTTCCGTTTACGTATATAAGCCCATCAATGAAAGTCTTCTGTGGGTGAACTGGTGAGCAACAGCCTGCGAGTATACATGAACAGCGGCTGAGCAGCGGCAGAACGATACCATCAGGGTGGAAGACTCTGATACAAGGGGAGAGGAAAAACTGATAGCTGCACGGCAAATCACCAGACCCAATTGAATGCACAAATAAAAAGTATGACTTCACCGGTGCCTGAGCACTGGACCACAAATGACAATTCTGTTGCTAGCACCAACGTTTGTTACCGTTCGCAGTGCCATGGAGTATAGGGTAATCATCACGTCTTTGTTAAAGCTGAGTGAAGCCGCGCGAAGCAATCCCGTCAGCCACTTTGGAATAAAACGGGATTCACAGTGATCGTGTTATTTCTTCAGCCCGGGAAATTTTTTTCCTCCACGGCAGGGAGTTATGGGAGTTATGCTCGGCAGAGTTTGTGCCACAGTATCTCCGAGTGGTGTGCAAGGAGCCAAATACCAGGGCCGGATACCCCATATTGCACACATCGTGTAAACTATATACCCCCGGTCAGAAATAGATCCGCGAAATATGAGAAAGGTCAAGGAAAAATTAACCAACACCCGAGTTAAGTTTTCCAGTAAGTTGCGGCCACAGCGGGCAATATACATATATATATAAACCTTTGTTGGACTACATCATCACATGAAGAAGTGAAACAATAAACTGGCAGTTCGTTGCCAAGTGTGACAAAGAGAAATAACAACAACCTGCACGAACGGAGATTCCTCCATTTTTGTCAGTCAAGTTGGCAAGCATAAAATACTGAATAATAGGAATTCATACAACAAACACCAAACACATCTACACAATAACCGCCAAATTTGACACCCCGACGAAAACTCCAAGCGCCTGGCCAAACACTCTCTCTTTGTCTATACCCAATACTGAATGCAGTTATACCTTCTTAAATACGCAAGAAGCCTGCTAGCCAGCGTACTGAATCGTTACAGACTCTTCCGTCCTCGACCTCGTGCTCCTTCGATCCCATCTCCTGATACAAGGGAGCCAACAGCACGTAACCAAAGCCAAGAACAACCCGGCTCCCATGCCAATGAACAGCCCTCTCATCAGCTGATTGCCAACAGAGCCAGCCAAGCCGGATAAAATGCCATTAGCTTCATCGCCTGAAGACGTTGGTCTGGACGAGGACGTTGGCGGATACGATATATCTGCGAGCGCCAAGGTACCATTGGAACCGAGCGCAGGCATAGGAAAGACGGTAGATGTGCGATGGACTCTGTATTTTTTCGCAGAGGGTACGTCTCATCCTCACAAGTAGAGGTGAAGAAGGCGACGACTGTATCGACCGCACAGTGGATGTGCCATATATCTTAAGACAAATTGAACAGAATATTGCCAAGGGTCATGGAGGGATTTGACTTCACAGTAAGCCAAAGGCGTTCTGGCTTAAGGAACCAAGTCACAAAGGGTAGTCGATCTCGGCAATTCCACGCACAGATAACTGGCTAATCCGTGAAGAAGGCTGATGCTGCCTGATTCATGGACGTGTGTTGCATACCCGAGGGTACTGGATCCGGGGTGACCATCAGCCCAAGCGGTATTGCAACATGTCCACGTACACTTGGCTACTCTGCGCCGATATAGATGCTTGTTGGATTACGTGCAGATGATGGACTGCGCACGTTGCAGCCATTGGCATTGGCGGGTATTCCTTGGGCTGTTCACACGTCATGGTCCCGGCGTGAGTCAGCGCGGCTGAGGAGAGTGGTAATAGTGTCGATCCGTAGATGGCCTAGTTACGGGCATGGTGTGACCGAGTTTTGTCTCGAGGAGATAAATACGACTCTACAGCGTAGTTTGAATAGGAATGGGAATGGGAATTGATGGGATGACGCTGACATGATGCCTTGTGTTGATGTTGTATCGTCTGCCGGTCATGGATCTTCATAGGTTGCCGGCGATGTTTTTCGTTGCATCCTTGTCACCGACATCAACAGCCGACATGGACTGATGAGAGGAAGCTTTTCGGGATTCCCATTCTGTCCAGGTAATTCTCTACCTCGTACCCGGGATCCTAGTCTGGGATCCCTTGATGCAGGACTTTGCCTAGTCGATGACTTGCTTGTTGGCAAGCTGCTCAGCCAAAGAAGGAGCTCTGTTTCAAATGGAACAAACGGGGATTCCAGATAGCAAAATAGAAGAACCCCTGGTCACGAAAAATTGCGGCTCACGCTCCGTGGCAATAAATGGCCATGCGGATAATGGGCTCGGAGTTGAAGGGTACTGACTGCGGGGTGTTTAGGAGGTGTCCTGCTCTCTGGTTCCCACCACTCACACGCCAGTATTTCCGTACCGCAGCACACCCTCGAAATTTTACAATCTTATCAGTAGTTATGATATCGCAACTATTTTTTTTTTTGAACCGCCCACCATCCACCGCCTCGCACGACACAGCGACAGCGCCTTAGCGTCGTCAAACTCGCCAATTCTCTCACCCACCAAGACCCGGATCGAGGACGGCAGGACACAGGCACAAATTGCTAATTTCACATCGGCACACAAATCGCCACCATGCCCAAGTCAAAACGAGCCAAAGTCTTCCACCTGACCCAAGTCACCAAGAAGACCCGTGAGCAAAAGGACAAGCTGTTCCAGAACATCCGCGATGCCGTGCCCGAGTACCAACACTGCTTTGTATTCAGCGTCGACAACATGCGCAATAGCTACCTGAAGAACGTGCGCCACGAGTTGAACGACAGCAGGTAATTTGTTGCTCCCTCTCCCCCCAAGTTCACGAGTTCCTGCGGCTGACACACGCTAGACTCTTCTTCGGCAAGACCAAACTCATGGCCAAAGCCCTCGGCCAGTCCCCCTCTGAAGCCATCGCCCCCGGCATCGAAGACCTAACGCAATACCTCAGCGGCACCGTCGGCCTCCTCCTGACCAACCGCCCCGTCGAATCCATCCTCGAGTACTTTGACAACTTCGCACCCGTGGACTTTGCCCGCGCGGGCGTCACCTCTCCGCGAGACTTCACCATCCCCGCGGGCGTCGTGTACGCCACGGCGGGAGAAGTCCCCGTGGAGCACGACGTGCCTCTCGAGCACACCATCGAGCCTGAGCTGCGCATGCTGAACGTGCCGACTCGCATGGTCAAGGGCAGAGTGGTGCTGGGCGACGAGAGTGGCCAAGGCGAGGGCTACGTGGTTTGCAAAGAGGGAGATGTGCTGGACTCGAGACAAACGAGGCTTCTGAAGTTGTTTGGGGTTTGCATCTCCGAGTTCAAGGTCAAGATTTTGGCGTACGTCTCTACCCATTGTATATGTAAATGGACTAACAAGACTGTTGCTGACTCTTCTTCTTTAGGTACTGGAGCTCAGCGAGCGGAGAAGTCACAGAAGTTGATCCATCAGCCATGGAGGGCGTGGACGAAAACTAACGACAATGAGGAAAAAAAAAGAAACAACGGACTAGTTACTCTGAGATGAAGATCATTGACATTTGAAAATCTGCTGTCACGACTGATACCGGGTAGATTATTCAACGGATCTGGCGTTTAATGGGTTTTTTGCTTGGTTAAGATGGGGGTTCATATGCATTTAGAGACCCTGGTGACTCCAATAAAAACAGTACTACATGACAACTATCCTCACAAGCGCCTTTTTCTCTCGCTGTACAAGAGCTTGGCTTCTTTTTTTGTGCGACATGTCGGTAGGCGAGTATGTCCCCGCAAGACCCTGCGCCAGAGACGGTTTGATGCGGAAAGAAAAGTCCCCTTCACCAAATTTCGGTCAGTAGTCAGATGAGCCTTACCTCTGACCTTACCTAGTTATAATGATAACAATAATACCAGTAGCCTCTCCATGCTACACGCTAATTTTTGTTTCTAACCTACCAATACAAACAGAAATACAAAGTATGAAGTTTACCTTTCCATCAATATTCCATTACCTTGTGTTTAACCCCGAGTTGGGCATGTCGGCCTCGGCAACATACGCTGGGTGTGGCTCTTGAGCTTGCAAAGAATGCATCTCACGACTGCTAGAAGAGTTATGGGAGTATAGGCCATGGCACAGACCATCGCATGCTTCAAAAACTTCAAGTGATACCCACCAGATGGAGGAGGGGATGCTTAATATCGTCGCAGTTTTCGCGGATCTTCGTAACCACCTCCGTCATATCCTCGTTTCCGGCTATCATCATCACGCGGTGGCCTGTCGTAGTCCCGGCCTCCTCGGTCGCGGTCGCGGTCGCGGTCGCCCCGATCACGATCACGGTCACGATCACGGTCACGGTCTCTATCTCTGTCCCGAAACCCACCCTCTCTGCGTCCGATAGGTTCCATATTGCCGCCAGTGCGACGGCCGCCATCACGGTAACCACCGCCAGGCCTATCGTCAAAGGACCGTCCACCCCTGGAATCATACCCGCCGCCAAAGCCACGGTCACCATTTCTGCGGTCGCCTCCAGGGCCGGAAGGAGCTCCGCTTGGCGCACCGAAGCCATTTCGATCTCCACGAGGCCCATCGCCTCTGAATCCTCCACCACGGCCACCGAACCCGCCACGGAAGCCGCCTCGGCCACGTCCGCCGTCAAATCCTTTAAAGCCGCCACGAAAACCACCGCCGAAGCCACCGGCAGGACCGCCTCCAGGACGAGCAGGGGCTGACTTGGTGTAACCACGCCCACCAAGGCCGCCGCCTAATCTACGCGGCTTCCATCCCTTGACGGTTCGGCCTCTTTCGACATCTACTTTGATGCGTCTGTCTTTGATGCGAATGCCATCACAAGAGTCCAAGGCAGCTACATTGTACATGCGCCACCAAGGCGCAGGTGTTAGCAACTCTTACCAGAATAATCACCAATTGTTGCAACCAGGTCTGAGGGACGAAAGAGAACAGGGGAAGGGACTGAGACCAGGCAAGCTTGAGGGCCATTTTGTGTGTGTCTCGACGTGTCTTCACGGAGAGCAGGCAAGCTTGAGGGCCGCATCTCCAAGATAAACATCCAGGGAAGGTCGTGCTTTTTGGAAATACCATCAACAGGGTATAGGCGGGAAATAGTTACCTCTCAAGTCCTTTTCTCTCTCAAACACTACAAAAGCATATCCACGGTGAGCCTTTTTCTTCTTGTTGGGCTTTTCATGCGCGTGAGTATCAGTGATGATACGAATCTATGTTTCAATTAGCATTCCTCCTTGTGTTTTGCAACATATTGTGGCTGACGAACGCGCTCAATTGGACCGAACCGACCAAACTCCCTCTCCAAGTCCCGTTCGTCTGCGTCGTAGCTGAGTCGCGCAACGATCAGAGTCTTGAATGCATCGCCTCGAATATTCGGGTCTTCATTGGGGGCGTCTGCTTTCAATGTTAGCACGAAGCATTATCAGTGCACAGCACATGCCACGAACAGTTCTTCGGCCCTTCGGTGAGTAACTTCTCGACAGCTTCCTTCTTCTCCTGCTTCTTCCTGTCCCTCGCCTCGAGCCAACTCTCCGTGGGATTGTACACATCCGTCTCCTTGTACTTCTGAAGCTCAGGCAAGAACGCGGCAACACCGTCAATGGGCGCGGTCTTGCGCTTTTCAGGGGCATAATCCGGCGGCTCTACCCATCGCAAAGGTGGTCGTGGCGCGAACAAAGCCAGCAAATTCGGCGGGAGCTTGTCAGTCATGACGTCGGGCTCATGCGGTACAACTCGCGTAAAAATCCGACAGCACAATTGACAGCCAAAGCGCGGTCACCCAGCCCGTAGTTGGGGGGTGAAATGCTGCCGGGAGTGTTGTGAAATCTGATGACCACAAGTGGCTGCTATGAATGCGATGCGAAAGCTCTTGGAAACTGTGAGGTCCAGTCTGGAAGGAGGATGGCCTCGTGGCTGAGTTTTGCCGGTGCTGGCCCGGGTCACGCTAAGCCCACTTTGGCGACCCCCAGCGTGAGCATTGAATTTTCGAGTACTCCGTAGTCTCAGGGTCATTCCCTCTGGTACGTCAAACGGATCATGAGGATATTGCCTGTGGCTACATCAAGATGACAGTCAAGGCATTGCGCGCCGTTGCGAGCGGCAAGGTATGAAAAACATGTTTTGCCTCGAATCTAATGACCTTCTCAATCGATTCTGACGGATAGCAGAATGGCGTCGGCTCATTCATCCTTCAATGCAAGAAGATGGACTTTCATTATTGCGATTGGGCCGGAAGCTCAAAGGGCATGAAGTAGGTTTCTCCGATGGCTCCGATCATAGAGTGAATTAAACGTGCTTACGAGACCTGTGAAGTGGTTTCATTAAGTCCCTCCTCCCTAAATTCGCAGCTGCGAACCCCCAGGTCGAATTCGCCGTCTCCCCTCGACCCGGCAAACACCCCGTCATCATTGGACACTACATCAATGGACGCACAAAACCTATTTGCGTACGAAACCTATCGCCGTACGAGATTTTACAGAAAGTAGAGCTGCTACGAGACGCAAGTGGTGAGAAGCTGAAGAGAACGAACAAGGCTGTCACGAGTACCAGCCCCAGTGTCAGAGGAATTTGGTCACCATACCACGGAAAGGGAATGGTTGTGTAAGACTTCATGGGTTTTGGCGGATTCAAGAAAGAAAGGCAACTGGGAAGGAAACTTGCCGTGTATTTATTAATTGTATTAAAGATGGGCAAACGTCGTGGTTTCAGCATAGAGCGGCTTGGATACCTTGGACTTTGAATGGTTGGTCATGTCTGATCACAAAGGAAAACCGACAAAATACTATGATACGACTTTACAGTCTACTTTTACCGTCATCACTGTAGCACCCAGTAATGAAATATATGAACGTCTATAAAGTGCCCTGTTCAGACTATATTCTTGTGAGGGGGCTGCGAGGCCCTCGGCTAGGGTCCTTTGTTGCTTTGCGCACACTTCACTGCTTCTTGCAGTTGATGATGTCGATGACTATGAGAGCGATGGGTTAGAACAATGTTAAACCAAAAGGTTCACAGGGTGCCAAAACGTACAAGCAGGTTTGAGTGAAGCACCACCAACCAAGAAACCATCAATATCAGGCTGCTTGCCCAACTCGGCGCAGTTCTTCTCATTGACGCTACCACCGTAAAGGATGCGAGTCTCCTCAGCCACCTTGTCACTGACACTCTTGAGCCAGTCACGAATGGCCTTGTGCACTTCCTGAGCCTGCTCCGTGGTAGCAACCTTGCCAGTACCAATAGCCCAAATAGGCTCGTAGGCAATGACAATCTTGGACCAGTCGTTGATCTGAGCCTTGAGAGCCTCGAGCTGCTTGCTCACAACCTCAATGGTCTTGCCAGCCTCACGCTCCTCGAGGCTCTCACCGCAGCACCAGATGACGCTGACGCCGTTCTCGGTGGCGTACTTGGTCTTGGAAGCGACCACCTCGTCAGACTCCTTGAGAATGGTGCGACGTTCAGAGTGGCCCAGGATGACCCAGTTGATGTTGCTATCCTTGAGCTGGGAGACGGATATTTCGCCGGTGAAGGCACCGCAGGGCTTGTCGAAGACGTTTTGAGCGGCAACCTCGATACCGGGGCGGATGCTGTCACGGACGAGCTGGAGATACAGGGCAGGAGGAGAAATAACGACCTCTATTCGCCTATTCAGCATGGAGTGCTCCGTTGTTTCGGAGGTGGATGGCTTGCCCAGATTACGTACCGACTTCAGGATCGAGAGTGGCCTCGTTTAGGTTCTTGACAATCTCCTTGATGGACGAGACAGTCCCGTTCCTGGCACATTACTGTCAGCCATTGCTTCTTGCTGTTCTGTTCCAGCGGTCGAGTTATCCCATAGTTGACCTGCGGTGTTTTGCGAGCTCTCAACACATGTAGACGCGGGGCATGGAGGGGCAATGCCGCGCATCGGCTGTTTGGCACGGACTCACATCTTGAAGTTGCCGCCGACAAAGAACTTGCGAGCCATTTTGAATTGGTGTTTGGGGGAAATGCTGAAGGGGGCCTGTTACGAGAGGAATCAAGGGCTCAAGAAGCAATTGTGTACCAAAATATGGTCAGGGATTGAGTTGCGTTTGGAAGTACGGAGTCCCAACAGACCAGAAAAGTTGCGCAGCCCACCTCGTACCTTGAGCGCTAAAATCAAAATCATGTGCGGTGCCCGCCCAAAGGCCAAGTTCAGGAGGGGCAGCAATCCAGATGTCATCTTTCCTAACATTGAAACATTGAACCTCGCTTTCGTCATCCAATTTCATTTTTTAACGCGTGTATTAACAGTCTCGTGTATAGCCAGGCACTATGGACTACCTCAAAACATTCTCCAAGCGAAAACCACCCCCAATACAATTAATTATCACTCATCAGTGTCGTCACCAACATCACCAACATCACGCATCTTGTCCCCTCGTCACCAACTACGACCGGCCATGTGGAGGAAACTTGTCGTATGAACCATCACATGCTTCGGTTCTAAAGTAGCCACCGTTCTAGCCAGTCAATTCTGTGCCATTTGGGGCCATGATCCTGACCGACATGGCTGTGTTTCCGCCCTTGTCACCCCATGCAACTCTAATGGGCTAATACGTTACCTGCTCCAGGTGCCTTGTCGTATGTGTCTCGTCGCCGGGAGGCGGATTATAGGTCGTCTCAATATCCGCGTTTGCCCGAGTCCATCCACGGAAAGCGTTCTCGCCTAGCCAGACCAGAACAATATCGTCTGCTTGCCCAAAGATGAATGTGTAATTGCCTGTCTCTGGGGCTAGCAGAAATCCCTGATGCATCACCGAAGCGAGGTTGATGTCTATGGCCTGCCCGTAGAGATCCTCTGGATTGTCAATGAGCAGCGTGTTTGTTCGACCGTCATGCTCTGGCTTTTGAGATTTGAATACGGCCGGGTCATACTCTGGAAAAGGGGGTGATTTAACGCTGTTGCAGGATAAAGGACCGCGCCACTCTGCCCAGTCAAAGCCAGGATGTCCGCAAGTAGGCGGTTTTGGCATGCAATGGTCGTTGCTGCACATCATGTCCTTGTCGCATTCTGAATCAGCACGGCATTGCCAACGGTCGCCATCTCTGCAAACTAGTCCCGGCCTGCAATCCGAATTCTTGGTACCATTTGGCGGTAGAGCGACGTGTGGAAGACATTTGCCGTTGGTGCACTGAAGATGTGGTCGAAAATCACAGTCTGTGTTTGATTTGCAAGGTGTGCACTTGTTGCATATGCAAATTTGACCATTGCACTCACGATGATTGTGACAGACCTTTGGATTGCATGCGTGGTCTTTGCAGACTTCGTCTATATCGCAATGCTCGTCTTGGGAACGCCTGCGCTTGTCCTTGCACTGCTTGCTGACCGTGCTTCGGGTATCGTTGGCGCATTTTCCGAGGCTTTCGATACACTGGACCTTGTGAGTGTTGTGAATATATCGTGGGATCATCACTGCCTTCCGTATACCTTTCTGAAGTTTTTGCAAAGCCGACCTTTGACATCACTAGCAGTGGTCTCTTTCTCACAATACTCATCACAAACTTTCTCACGAAGGGTTAACCAGGTACTACGTCGATACATTGTGATGTACCATACCTCAATGGTTGCAGGTAATTCTGTTATGTCGCAAGCTGCTCGAAGCGATTTACAAATATCTCCCAGTAAAGGCGATTTGTGTTGCGGCGGTAGGGATTCTAGATTGAAATCCTGGGCCAGGATACCCTGAATTGCCGAGATGACGAAATAAGCAGTTGAAAACAAGCTTCGATGCATTTTAAGGATAGTCATCTGACTTTTTCTCTTTCTTCTTTTGGGATCGGTTGTCAATGGAAGATGGCTTGAATTGAGGGTAAGTCAAATGGCTAGGAACTCAACTGCTTTTAAATATCGATATCTACCTGTCTATTATCTCGTAGTACCTAATTTAATGGAAGCGTTCAGCTTATTGACAATACAAGGCTGACGCGTCAAGAACCGCATTGCCGAGTTGCGTGTGTCTGATCTCGGTTGATCGCTTGCAGGATCTCGCTAACTGTGACCATGGACATATTCCCGAAATAAATGTCATCTTACGGAAGAAAGATTTTTCGTGGGCAAGGTGAATCTAGACGGGTCTATTGCTCGCTGTCGGTTCGACTGAAGCAATATCATGTATCGTTGTACCACAAAATCTCAAACAACGTTATTCGGGGCGTTGTAACAAGCCGCATTTGTTGGTTATACATCATGAGTGGTGTCTTGACTTGTATCGCAAGAGGTCCATCCAGTGCGGGAACTTTCAGGAATCTTATGCCTCGGATTTCATTCAGAAGCAGGACGTGCCGGATATCTTTCTTCCAATAGATCTAGACAATATTCGCAGCACAGGTTCAAAGCAAGTTTGACGCACCGGGCTACTCACATCATTCACATAACAAACTTTGTCTCTGAAGCGCACACCACAAGCACTCGGCTTTGCCCTGGTGGAAAAATGGAGATGTTGTCGAAGGCTCGAAGCGAAGTCGTACTCACTTAGAGCCAAAAAAAAAAAAACTTATGCACAAAGATATTTGACAATTCGCTTATGTGATTGATTGCCACTGCCCTGCCGGCAAAAATATCGTTCCATGGTTTATGGTTTTAGCCTCTCTATCGTTGGCATTCGCAGAGAATTCTTTTATCACGCGAGCTGAAACAACAGTGATTCAAAAGCCAATTGTCTATTTGCTGGACTAGGAAAACAACATTCCAGAGAGACACAGAGAGAGAGAGAGTGCAGCGCGATTTTTTTTTTTCAAAAAAAAGATTGATTACCAAAAGATAGATGTTTAATTGTTCCGACCACGCCAGGAGTCGAACCTGGAATCTCTAGAGAGCTCGGCGGCTCACGATAACCGAAATCTAGCGCCTTAGCCATTAGGCCACGCGGCCGATATGAATGAGAGGACTTATTGCAGATTATAAAGCTAGAGTGAATGACTGTCTCGCTAGTAAGAACCTCACGTTGCCAGCAACTGCATTACCTGAGCTTTTTCAACTATCAAATGAGATTCCCAGAACGAGAATGATGAGAAGCCTATTTGGCCACTTTTGCTGGCTGTCTTCGCAAGACCTGGCTGGAGCTGTCTTAATACGTCTGGCTGCATTCAAGCCTTCTTCCCTTGAGATGTAGAAAGTGATTTTTGGTCGAGACCAGTTGTTTTACTGATTCATGAGGACTAAATTCTTCCTCGAGCTCTAGGGCGACTGAAATATGAGTAATCATGTTCTGGCTGCGGTGCAGGTGCACTCAAATATAGCCCGTAATCTTTGTAAGTTGTTTCAATGATTCAAAAACATTATTCTTTTTACCTTCTCAAACAGCTAATCGTCGAGTGCAACCAACTAGAAGCTTTGCCAGGTCAAAGGGTAAATACCAGGTGGTAATAATTCTTGCCAGCTGCCAAGCGTTCATAACTGGTAGCTTCTGCTTTGGCAGCTGCCACACACTCGTTAATGTAACCAAGTGCCTAGTTTCTAAGGAGTCGTCTGTTACTGCGGAAACTTTCTACTCTCCTTCCTCCCGTCACAGATAATTTCTTGATTGAATTGCTCTGAACTATTCAAATACAAATCTTCCACTGTCCATAAGCTTTTGGCGTCGGTTCGAGCATCAGCATTGGGAATCAGACACGGAGCACAATAGCCTCCTCCATCACGAACGGCTCGTCCGCCCGTGTTTTACCTTTGTGAGCTGTCTGGTCCATTGTTTTGAAAGAAGTACTCCAACTAATTAGGCAAGCTGTCCGTCATCGAGGTTACCATGGAAGCCTCACCAGCGGCGATTTCGCCAGGACCAACACGTGCACAAGAAGAGGATGGCTTTTCAAGGATGTGCGAGGAAATGAAGACCTGGCTTTCCGGTTCCCCGGCAGTGAAGTGTGTCAAATCCGCTGATGAAGGGACGAAAATGAAGTCGTCAAAATCGGCTACCGCTGTCTCCAGCAAAGCCAGATCTTCGATCCTGATGCCCAAAGCGGCCTCTGACGCACATGCAGAGTCCGAGAGGACTACAAGCGAAGACGTGCGCAAACTTGAAGCAGTTACTATCCTATCAAATAGCCCTTCAAATCCACCAGTTGAAATTCAGGAAGTAATGAGCCAGCTTGATACCCGAGGCCTAACAGCTCAGGATGGTTGCGGCACACTAGTTGGGGAGCAGCCTGAAAACATTAAATCCATTGAGTCATCGAAATCAATCCCTCGTGCATCTACTTTACTTTCAGACACTCCACTTCCTGCACCATTACACATCATTCAAGCTGCCACAGCTGAATTACCTGCTGTTAAGCCTCGGGAAGACGTGCAGAGTGGGCATAGTTGGAGCGTCAGCAACGTTTGTCCTACAGAAGGGGGGCATGAAGATGGTTCGTCTTCGCTTAGCTTCGTTGTCGAACGGGAAGCCGACAGCAATATCCCGCATTCTTCCTCTGTACTCAAAGTTCAGGAAAAGATTGCGCATCAACACACTGGCAGGTTCCTGGATTACGCAACAGCGGAAGGCTCCCAATGTCTGCTAGGAGCCTGGCTCGCCAAATTTCCGGCATTGCCTTCTGTAAAAGTTCCTAACGAGGATCTCTGTAACGAATCATTTGTCCAATGCGCTATCGACACAGAGAATGGCGAGTTTCTTCCTCGCATTCCACAACCAGAAACGGTTCGACACATGGTGGGCGGTCCCTGCGAAGGCTACAATGATATCGGCTGGCGACAATTAAACATGACATCGGCGCTTTATATAAAGCGGGAGATGGAGAGCCGAGAAAATGCGTTGCGCATGATTCCGGAGCAGCTCGACCACAAGCCAGAACCGTTGGTCGGAACTGAGGAAGTGCAGTGGCCAAAAGCGAAGTGTGTTATCCGGCCAGCTGCGCCATCAGACTTTGCCCAAATTGCTGAAATCATCAATGCGGAAGCAGCAAATACAGCCAATGCCCAAATTTTCCAAGAAAACTTGGCAATGGCCGATGATGTCTGCAAGATATTCGATGCTTGCATCGCTAATAGTAGACCATTCATCGTTGCCATACCTGCCCAAGATGACTTTCTAGACCAAAGCAAGTGGCCAAAGGACTCCGACGAAGTTTACCAGGAATTCGCAAAGTACGTGGCTGCAAAGCCAAAACCGCCCGCTCCAGTTGCTGGCTTTGCATTTGTCTCCGACTACCGGGTGAACTTGTATGGAGCTCCCTGTCACGCATCGCGCTATACCGGGCAAGTAAGGCTAGCAGTACATCCTGATCATCAACGCAAACTGTACGGATCTGCACTTATGGATCGGATTTTGCTCTCAATCTCCCCTTTCTGCAGGAGCACACTGGATTACGTGTGGAAATGCGACGACCCCAAAGATGTTTACCAATTTCCTGTGACGCGCAACAGACGCCAGTACACCCAACTGTACTTTGAGCACTTTTTTGCGCAAGAGGATAAGGCACCTTATCAACCGGGGGCTGAGTTTCTCGCAAAGTTTGGCTTCCAAGAAGTTGGATACTTCAAGAACGCGGCCGTTCGATTGGACGACCAACACCATAGCCACTGGCTGAACATGGTGCTATGGCAAAGCGATATCACGCCCCCTTCGAAAATAGTGGCTGAACCGCAGTTGTCCGGATCAGTACAAGGTGACAATTGAAGAGAACATCACAGAAGTGACGAGAAAATATGAGTCTAGAAATCTGTTTCCCACCACATGCACCTAGTGTCTTGCCTACCTGGTAGACACCTGGGGTGCGTGCGTTCATTTTGAGGTTGAGAGTACTTGCTACTCATGCAGAATGTTGATACTGAAACAAGCAAGTTGAAATGCAATATGATCGGAGGCAGTTGTTGCTGGCTATGGGTGGATGACAATGAATCAAAAATGGATGAACAAAGAATGAAGGATCTAGTACCAAAAGATGTATGTCATGAGCTAAGAAAAGCCCTAGGAACAAACAGCCAAAGACTGTATGCAATAGAGTCTTACCTGGACGTAGATGAAATGGGACAATGACAATCGATTTCCCAGCGCTGACGGCTTTTGGTGAAGCGTGTTAGAAAAGTTGCAGTTGGAACCCTCGGTAAAGGGCCAACGGCGTTGCAGTGGTTGAGTGGCACCAAGGCGCCAGTTAAGTGGTCGGGATCCATCATGATGCATCACGTGTGGGTGAACGTTGAAGGTATCTATTTGATCCAGACTTCACCATTGTTCAACACGACCCCCGAATCACTGGGACGGTGCACAATCTTGAGACATCGGAAAATCTTGCAGCATTTGAAGAAAGTCTTCAATATTAATAGCAGCAGCCCTGCTTGGCGAAGATCCCGCCTCCCAATATGCTGTCTATCCTTCGAAAAGCCCGCCTCAAAGACAAGGAGATGAGAATATTGATGCTGTGCGTGGCTCCTCCCATCGAAGCATAGTTGGCACATTACCAACGGAATTGAGATGGAATTTAGGACTAACGGGCTCCCACAGAGGCTTGGACAATGCCGGAAAAACAACGATCGTGAAGAAAATTATGGGGGAAGACGTCAACACAGTTAGCCCGACATTAGGCTTCATTATCAAGACGATTGACTACGAGGGGTGAGAGCCTCCGACGCAGTGTCCGTATATGCACATTGTTTGCTAACAGTCTGCTTGTTAGGTACAAACTAAATATATGTAAGCCAAAAGGCATGACCCCGTGAATACCCGTACTAATGAGGCAGGGGACGTTGGCGGTCAAAAAACTCTTCGGTCATACTGGCGCAATTATTTCGAGAAGACGGATGCACTGATATGGGTTGTTGATGCGACTGATCGCTTACGAATAGATGATTGCAGAGACGAGTTGCATGGGCTATTGCTAGAAGAGGTGAGCCACGCACGATGAGACGAGAAGGAGCCATTTCTGCTGACGACAAGACAGCGGCTGTCCGGGGCTAGTTTGCTTATTTTGGCGAATAAGACGGATGTGGAGGGGTGTTTGGATGAACAGGAAATTCGAAAGGTGAGAGACTCTCCACGGTGATGGTGAAGATGAGGGGGCCGGCCGGGGATACCGGGCTGATTTGTACGCAGGCATTGCGTTTGGATGAGATTCGGACACATCAGTGGAATATTTTACGATGCAGTGCTATGACAGGGAAGAATCTGCAAGAGGGCCTGGCTTGGGTGGTTGCTGATGCGAAGAAGAGACTGTTTCTCTATTAGCTGCGTGGGAAAGGACAATATTTGGTATCATGCTAGACACGGCATAATAATGTTCGTCGTTGAAGCTCGTGAAGGCAGGAAGCGATGATGCATAAACTTCGGGAAGGTGCTGGAGACTTTTCACCTGGTGTCTGCAGCGTGATCCAATATACGAACTAGGTTGACCAACGGGGTCCGGGTATCCGAGCCGAAACGGTTCTTGACGGGTGCCTCTTGCGGAATACAATGACGAATGATGTAGGCTCCATCTGTGTGGATGCAACGGGCCGGAGTGTTGCGTAGTCAACGCGAACGTCTCGCGTGGCGCTGGGGTGAAAGTAAACAAACAACGCCACTAGTATCTCACAACTGTGTTTGTGTGTGGTCCCGATTATGGCCATGATGTTTATGAGTTTTTTATTTCCTCCTCCTTTTCCCAGTCTTTCAAAAATACCACAAGGCTGAGGTTGTGCCACTGCATCAGATGACTGGGTGAGGAGATGTTGCAGTCTGCGGCAGTTGCAGTTGCATCCCACCCAGGTCTGAAAACCGGCCGGCTGCAGGGGCCCTTGCATTCAAGGCCGTGAAAGCAGGCCGCCTAGCGAAAGTGAATTGGTTTAAAACATGTAGAGATGGCGGTCATTTTCTCACGGCGGTGGTCATGGCGCGACATTCCCTCCAGGTTCCAATGCTCCCGAGTAGAAAGCACGGAGCTGAGCATTGAACACTTGACATCAAATCCATTCACACCAGCATCTATTGTTGCCTACAACTGTTATGTACGGCTTCTGGAGCAGGCGGACCAATTGGGCGGGTGGAGACGGCACATGGACCAGTGACTTTAATGGACGCTCCGGGCTCAGCAGTCAGCATAGATTGAGGGTCCGTCCGTGGAATTGACGTGCAAGGCCGGCTCCATTAGGCTCATCCGCCAACCGCGACTTTCTTGCACCCCTCCCTTGGACTTCCATCACAAAGTCAACATTGGACTTCTTCCCTCCAGGGACCCCAACCGTCTTTATTTGCTGTACGGCCAGGAGGCAGAGTAGCTTCATTTGGCAGAGGGGCCATTGTTGCAAGTACCTGCATCCTTATTCCGAGTCGTCTTCGAGTGTCATGGCCTAAGACGTCATCACCAGAACCCGACATTTGACAACATCAGTCGCCATCGCGCTACGACGACGGGAAACGAAGGGGACATGTCCGACGAAGTCTCTCAGTTCCTCGAGCAGGTCGAGCGTCTGCGCGGCCAGCAGATTGAGGACGACGAGGCTCGAGCTCGCGAAAGGGAGGAGTTTTTGGCCGCCAAGCGGGAACGTCAGGCACGAAGAGAAGGTGAGTCTGCCACTTTCAAGTAGCGGATGTTCAGAAAATTAGGAGCATGAGACTTGGGGATACTAGGCAAGCCCCTGGCCAAATTGTTGCCGGCTGGTGCAGCTGTTGACTTCGCCTTGGCCAGCTGGCAGGCGAATTGGCTGCTGGTTTGGTTTGCGCATGGTCAGGCCGAAACACGACTAGGAACTACTTGAAACTAACATTGGACTATCTACTCCCCCGCAGAGCGTGCCCGGTCCATCTCCCCTCAGAAATCGTCCCCCGTGAATACACCGTCACCGCGCTCCAATCACCAAGGTGCCCAGGTTTCTGATGCTACCAGGCTCGACTCGCCCAGCAGGACACTCGACGACCGCGAACCCCCCGCCTCCCCGCCCGGCGGAGACGACTCAATGACATCTCCGGGCCTGCCTGCCAAGGACAGTGATGCCTCGGTCGAGCTGGACACGAAGCCGACTGAGAGCTCAACACCACCTGCGAGAACTTCTACGCTGTCGTGGCAAAGACGGCCCGCATCGCGGGGTGGTGCCCGGCCCTTGAGCATGGTAGCGGCCCAAAATGCGACCCAGAGGTCTCTGGCTGGGTCGCAGGAGCCAGCATCTGCCACCGAGGAAACCTTCTCCAAAGATCAGATTGCCAAAGCTTTGGGCTCCAAGGATCCTTCATGGTTTCGACAAACGGCGGATCGCGGCCAGAACTCTGCTGCATACAGACGGGGTCAGGTTGAAGATGAGGACCGATTAGATATGTCGTCGGTTAGGGCACAACTGCCGGGCATGTCTCTTACAAATCCGGTTTCGAGTTCAAAAAGCTCTCCCTCGCCCCAGCCCAGTCCAGAACCGCCAAGTCACTCAACACTTGCCTCGCCGGTCACGTTCAACCCCCCGCGGTTTGACAGTGCATCTGCTGAAAAACAACCAACCCAGGAGCCTGCGCTATTATCTGGACGGGCATCGCCCACCCGGTCGCCGTCACCCACCAAGGGCCTCGGTGGTTTTGTCCAGAGTGCAATGATGAAGCGGAGCGATAGTGTTAAGCGTTGGAGTGTCACGAGCCCTCCAGGCTTGACACGAGCGGACTCTGTTGCTGCCATGCGGGGAGCTAGATCGTCAGTTCACATGGGTTCCAGGCCACAGAGCACCGTACGAGGAGAGTCTACGACACCGACTTCGAGTAGACCAACCTCGCAACATGGCGACAAGCCATCTGACCTTGCCGATATCTCCAAATCGTCAAGCCTCATGTCAATAGACACAAGCCGTGGTGGGGAAAAGGATGAGGATGCTGGCATTCCATCCAGTCCATCAAAAACCATGGATCCTAGGCGCTGGAGTCCCACCAAATCAAGTTGGCTTGAAAATGCGTTGAACAGACCAGAGTCACCAAAGCCATCCCCGACGACTGCCCAACCCACTTGGAGGAATAATGCCAATGCAGAGTCAAGTCGACCGAAATCTGTCTCTCACAAGCACCAGGTTAGTATTGGGGGTCTCATGAGGCAATCGGCTGTCGGAACTGTGGCTAAATCCAACCCTACTGGCTTGGGGGGCATTTACTCACCGCCGCCAAATGCAAATCGACCTGCATATCTGCATGGGTCAAAACCCAGCATCACACAACAACAATCTGAGCCGGATTTATCAAAGCCAGATGAGATGGCTGATAAGGAGGATGTGAAGCCGGCAGAGAAGGAAACCAGCTCCCCAAGTGCTACAAAACACACGTCCGTCATGAGCCCACCGCCTCTCAAACCCAAGCCGCAAAGCCCGCCAACGACCGACTTCAGGTCAAACTTAAGGCAACGTCCTGCAGAAAAAGACACACCCAAGTCTGGTGAACCGGAATTCAAGAATGTCTTCGGCAATCTGCGTAAAACCAAGACCCAAAACTACATTGCTCCCGATGAATTAAAAAACAATATTCTTCGCGGGAAGTCGGCTCTTAACGTAACCGATGGCCCAAAGAAGAGCGAGAGGAAAGACGAGTTCAAAGACGCAATTTTGAAGAAGAGGGCCGACTTCAAGGCTGCTCAGTCTGAGGGCCGACGTGTCACGAGAGCATCAAGCACTGCTGCTGAAACGCCATTGCCCGAGGGATTGGCCAAGAGGGCAGAGCTGGGCAAATCCGTGGCAGCCATGGCC